ATTTCCTAGAGCATAATCATTACTCACAATATGGTGATGTTTGGTCTAAATGGAGTGCTATTACCCTCATCTATTATACTCAGGAAAAGAAGGGAAAAAAAAGAATAAAAATATGAATAAAAAAATAACGTTGACTAAGGAGGCTCAGGGCTTCTTCCACTTCTCAGCAGTCTCGAGGATCGTGTAGACTGAAGGCTGGGACGGAGCGTAGATGCATCGCGGCTTCGCCCTCAATATTTGTGATGATTCTAAGGTCCACAGAATGTAACATAAAAATAGCATACCCTGCCAACTTGCTCATACCATCCCGTCAAGGGTGATGGCGGTGCACGACAGCGCCGACAAATGGCTTTAAGAAGCATCTTGTATTTTCGGTTCTTCGAAACCACCTTTGCCCAGGTATTTCCAACTATAAAATGGCCATCGCTTACTGCTCTAGACCTACCTATCTCTCTTCGCCCAGGCACTCATCGAGCCTTCTATCTCTTAGCAAACTCGCCCATTGGACTTCTCAGGATCCTTCTTCAACCAGTCTACCTCCTTTCTAATACTAACCCGGAATGAAAAGAAGCCATGTCCCTCGGCGGTTTGTGCGGCCAGACCCCCTACCCACCTTATCCCGAAGGTGTCTGCTACACGACCTACAATGACGAAAATTTGGAGCCCATCGCCATGTGCTGCGGGACCGCCCCGGTAGTGCCGTTCTGGAACTCATTCACATGCATCGTGTATTGCCCGGTGGTGCCTGGAGGTCTCGACATGGATGAATTGAACTCGTGCTTGGCGAGCGTGACAGGTAGCGCCGGCTGCCAAGGAACAAGCGATGGAGGCCCAGTCGCTCCCGATAGCGTGATCAGACAAGCACGCCGAGAAGCCGAGAACAACAAAGACATATGCAGAATCTGCCGAGACAAGCCCAAGAGCCTATCGGGCAGCGCGACTGGAAGCTCCGAGATTGCTACGGAAACATCGGGAACGTTGGGAGCAACTGGCACGTCGGATGGAGGATCGAACCCCACTACTCCCACGGAGACTACCCCGGGCGAATCGGCCAACACCCCAGGTGCAGGTGGAAAATTTAGGCCTTCGAAGGTTGTGTTGGGTGTCGCTATGATTCTAGGATTCGGATACGTTGTTAATGTTTAGACATGATTGCCGTATCTGTTAGACCTGAGAAGTGGGAGGGAATGCACAAGGGCGCTGTATTTACTTTCTAGAAAGTATCTCTTTAACTATTCTATTGTCTCCACTTTGAGTTGTTACAAGCAATCCCTTTCGAAGACTGCGTTGTTGGGACCGAAAAACATAACCCAAAGCTGAAGGTGACTACGCTTGCCCACAGGAATGGGGCAGCAGACTTGGAACAGCACAACTTCGAGAAATGGCTCAAATAGCCAGCAGGTGGTCGTAACAGCTTCGTAGGACGTCGGGAAATCTATAGTCTGTGGGAATCTGCATCGCTAGGCGTCACCGATAGAAGGAATAAGCAAAAGACTATAATATTGAACAGAAAAGATAAAAGAACGCATCTTATAAGATAAACTCCAAAGCTGAGGAAAATGACTGACCGCTCGCAGTTTCTAAATTTCTCTCACTACCTTTCTAATACCTGCTGTCCTGTCCTCCTTGGGTTCTTCCCCATGATTGCGGGAGTCATCCTCCCCTTAGATGTGTAAGTGAGGTCCAGCTGAGTGGCTCTTCGAGCTTCTCTTGTGGCTTCCCGCAGTGTGGCAGTGCGGGGTCCTTATGTAATCCAATTATCGGGGCTCCAATTATCGGGGCTGTGACACTAACCATTTGCTTCGAAGCTACAGACTCATTGACGACCGACTGGCCCCGGCCCTCAGGGGCGGTTGGAAGCATCGTGGCGGTGTGTTCGCCATGTTTGGCAAACATTGAACGAATGACAGTAGATACCGAGGTATGGTCGATGATGAGTCTAGATGCGGCATGGGTCCCATGATTTACGGTTTGTCTAGGGGCTGATTCTACACAAATAATTTACACATGAGCTGGGTAGCTGAGTAGCTAGGCTAGGTTATATCGTTTCTGCAGCGGGTGGAAAACTCCCGAGCGGGAAGTAAGTGTAGACGAACATGCATGGTGATCTGCGGCGTCAGAACCATTCGAAGAAGGCCCACATGCATAAGAATGGCCTGGCCCATGCCTACGATCCCATTTTAATTTTCCCTCGGGGCTGGTTAGGCATGACGAGGGCTGAAACGCCAACCGCCCTTTCGCGGGATGCTGGAACATCCTCTTACTGAGAGAAGGAAGCGACCAAGGTTTATAGGTCGACATTAATCGAGTGCTCGTGACGAGTGGATAAGCTCGCGAAGAAGTCTGCGAAATGCGATCTTGTCGCCCAGTCAATAAGCTCTGTCAAGGTCTCGACCTCGTGTGAACCTCGTTCCCCAGGGTGTTGCCAAGTCATCGACCATCCCACGACATGGGTGGAGTGGAATCTTCCATCTTTCCGTTTTGGGGCTCAGCCAATTAACCCTCTCCGACATGGTCGGGAGAGCACATCGTGTTTTCCACCTCTTGGCATGACAAAAAACTTCTGATTTTGGTACAGGGGAGGGCAGTGTACTCCGTACAGGGACTAATTGCGCGCATTCGAGTCCAGAAAGAGCTTGCAGCGGCGCCGATTTCATGCAAGGCGGGCCAGTCTTTAAGCCTTTGCCGGGATGGGAAAACGGAGTATGAAGTAGGTCTCCCCATGAGAAGAGAAACAAAGGATGGAAATCCACCAGAAGTGCTGCCGTCACAGAGACCGAATTCGTGGCGGGGGAGGTTGATTTACTTCACCAGGCCTGGGAGGCGGGGAAGAGCCTCCTTCGTCATGAGAGAATTCAAGGTAAATCCATGTTCTGCCATTAACAAATTTCGTCATGTCTCGACAAGAATAGATATTGATACCCTGCACGAAGTACGAAGTATTTTCCTTCATGGACAGCGGGTTAGCTCACAGCCAAGTCACCCTGCATGACTGACAACACACCAAGCGGGAGGAGAATACTGAGCCCCAACCCCAACCCAAGCAGGACATCCTCTGGGATCTAAACTGATCAATTGACACCCTCGAGGAAACGGAACGACGAGAATTTAGGTTCCTTCCTGACTGAATACCCGTGTTTTAATTGCGGAGTAAGGCCATGACCCATGGTATTTTAGAAGACACAAAACGTTACACGATCAAGTGTATCACATTGTGTACTTCGTACCGCGGAATACCAGAAAGGCTTCCCTTTGGTGGCATTGCAGAGCAATGTTAATTTTTGGAAAGATTAGATGAGTTCATTCCCCGGAGGGAGCTACCCGTAGATGTATGTACCTGGCAACGTGATTGTTGCTGTCAGGTACTTTGGAATATGAGGACATGCTCGGCTGCACTGATGGACATGCCGATGTTGCATGGGGCTACATTCCTTGCTTTCTCGGCCAATTTCGTTTATGGGCAGCTGCACACACATTCAAGCAAGGCAATCCCGCAATACGTCGTAATTGGGGAATGGCATCACCGAAATGAAATAACTCAATCAAATGTGAGAAGAGACGAGGGGAACAGAGCTTCAATCCTTCACACATGGGGGAAGCCACGCCGCGAACGAGTGGATTTCAGCGGACTGCACCTGATCTGGTCGACCCTGAACGCTAAATTAAGCAAGGTCTTTAAGCTTGCATTTTGGGACGAAGAAGATCGATCTGATACGGGAGAAATCTGATCAAGGTGCATCCGGAGTGACAAGGAGTGATGGGAGGATGGTAGCAGCCAACCTTGACTGCATCGTCCTCTGCGACGAGGTGGATCTCTCACTCCTGGCTGCATTTTCTGGTATTCCAGAAATCCCAAGACGGAGGCAGTTGAAACTGAGCATCCACAATTGATCCCGTTCATTATTGCTTTGTGCTTCGCACCAGTCCACAGTCTCGTCCGTATTAACGCCACACCTTGGGAAGGTAACTCTAGCATTTTATACCCTGGCCGGCTCAATTTCGCCAGGGGACCAATAACAATCGAGGATATCCGGATCGGCTGTGTGGGATCATCCCCACTCTTCGAGGAGGTTAAGCGTTGCTGCGTTGCCCAACCCGTCGCCCGTTCCTGCACTTAGCCCGCCGTGAATGGAAAGGTGGAAGGAGCAAAGGTACCACCATCCCTCCTTCTTCCCTAGGTACTCTGGGTACTCTGGGTACTGGGGGCAACGAAGCAATAGGGAGAGATGGCAATGGTCAATGTCAATGGGCATTGAGTCTTATATTGCTGCCCGTCTCGTCGGATGGTCCACTTCCTCGGTCGCCATCCCGCTCTTCCCCAAGACAATATTACTGCCACGACGCCCGCGCTCCCACTGTTTTGTCCAAGACACCATCCAACTCACCTCATGTTTCACCTGCGATCGATCGAATTTTCCGTCGACGAGCGATAATTCTAATCTACTGCGAAAGCGAAGAAGGAGGGGGATCCGAGCTGTTATTCTGTTAGGAGGAAAGAATTCAATCAATTTTTGCGAGCGACGACGATCCTTCGGGAACGAGGTTGGGGAAAAATCAACTAATAACCCTGTCCGCCGACCGAGCAACTGCCAACCTGACCCGAACCCCCAAACTCTCACCTCGTCACCTCGTACGAAACCTACCAACCACCTCACGACCCTAATTTTTCAAGTTGACAGGACAAAAAGAGAAGGGAGGCGGAAAAAGTAAAGGGGAATAAATCAAAGTGCGACAGGTTATTGAGACAGATTTTCACATTTTTATTCATTCGATCCGACTTGTCTCTCAGCGACACGATTGCTGCGCAGGCGGATAGGAGCGCTTCGATTCAACCAGCACGACCAAAACACCGACGCAGACCTCGACACGACCACGAGAGCGACCAAGACCCCCTTCTCGAACAACTGTCGCATTTGCGCCCTGCACCAACGAAGTCAATTCGAGATCTCTAAGTTTTTGTGGATCGGCCTTCGAGTTGATCCACTGACAAACTACTGAAGATGGGGTCAACAGAGTTCGGAAACTTTGAGGTGCGCAAACACTCCAAGTGCTTCATTGGAGCATGCGCCCGTACCTGCATTTCAATGTTCACTGCGGAATATACTCGACTGCTAACATTGGGTTTGAATACAGAAATTTTGTCGCGACTCGACTCTACCAGTCTGCAATGTATGAAATAAACCCATTGACTTGACCCGGCGACGAAGACCAGTGTCTTGTCTCGCGCTAGCAACACGAATGTTAGAATCTAATGTGTGACTCCTTAGGTTCTCTCCGAGTTCCACAACCAAACTGGACCATGGGACACCGACACGAGCTGCCAGTTGAAGGGCATTCCTCTGTCTAACGGCAGGCACTTGGGCAACTTGGGTTCGATATTACTTTGCGGCATTGCGATTCTCGTTTCCATCTTTCTGATCTTTCGATCCTCTCGAAGAAAGGCGGCTGTTGGTCGACTGTAAGTTGCGATCCTCATCCCAGATACCGTCCTAAGCTTGGGGAATCCGTTTGACTGACTCAATCTGTAGCGAGATGCAATTGTTCCTGGTCGGTTACCTGCTTATCTCTATTTGCGAAATCTTCTCCGTTGGCGAATTCCCATTGAACGGCAAAGTCAGAGTGGTATGTCTAGTCTTTCCAGCTTTCTGTCTCACCCACGGTTGCATCACCCCTGTCCGATTGTGTCGAGTCTTGCGATTAACCTATTTTATCCTTGAAACAGGCCTTTTCAGCAATTCACATTGGCCTGATCGCCGCGACCACGTGGATTCTAATGCTCAACGCTGTTGTCGGATACCAACTCATCGATGATGGAACACCGCTCTCCCTAGCCCTAATGGTTAGCTCGGCTGCGGTCCTCCTAGTGGGCACCGGTTACATCGCCCTCGACACCGGCTTCCAATGGACTGGTTACTGGGATGAGAGCTGGACACCTCCTAACCGCAATATCGCCCTTTACGTCCTGTACCAGCTTGCCCCACTCATTTTCCTCGTCGCCTTTTACGTCCTCGAAGCCATCTTGGTCCTCCGCATCCTCGGCGAAAAGGCGCCAATGCTCTATCTGACTGGTGCCGCTATACTTTTCGCCGGCGGTCAGATCATTAACTATGTCGCCAGCTCCCACATTTGCAGCGGTACAAATGGCAAGATCGACGGCGCCCTGTTTCAAACTCTCTTGACATTATTGTCCGTCGTCTTGGTGTGGATCTTCTGGTCCTCCATCACCGAAGACGACTGGCAAGTTCCCGTCGGGGGTACCTACCCCTGATCAATTTCGAGGGAACGGGTGGCGTCACATTTTCTATCATTTTATCTGTTCCATCATACGGAGTTGGGGATTCTAAACGGCGGCTTCTCTTTTATGACGTTTTTTTTTTTTCGGGGTTCTTTTTTGTTCCCCTATTTAGTCGGGATATTTTCCCGTCATTCATGTTCCCTCCTTTGCTCCCCCAATAATGGAGCCCACGAGTTGTCGAAACGATTACGAGGCGATGACGACGCTACACGACGAAACCTGACGAAAGAGGAGTCGCGCAGCAAACCAAGTTTTTGACCTAATTTTTACATTCATACTCTCCTTTAAGTCGCCCCCAAAACCAGATGGGTGGTAACGCGACCGCCATAATGGGAAAAGAAAACAGATGGAGTATGACCAACAACTTCGCCGGGGGAGGGAACGTACATATTGTGCTTACTTCCCTTGGGTCGAGAGCTCGGGACTCGGACAGACGGGGAAAACGAGGCGAAGGGAATCGGTACATGATGATGATGGGAGGGTTATTTTGGGATGAGGATCTTGTGTGGGAATAGCCTGCAATGTTGAAGGGTTGTAGGGGATATAGTTGGTTTTAGAGTTGTGACTTCATAGTATACCCCAGTGAGCGAAGTAATCAATTGATACATGCATGAAGAGGAACGTGGAAAATGATTCTCTGTGATTCTACTATATATTGATGTTATGCTGTTTTCGTCTCGACTTTGAGTGGTACAATTTGATAGGAGGACAGATGAATTTCATGATGGATTGATTGCTTCAAGACTTCCTCTCGGCACGCCGAATGGATTGATGACCTCTAGGCCTCAAGTTACTGGTAGGAGGTGACCGAATCGGTCTGCCTGGCTGCTGCCGAAAATGTTAGGCTGATTGTTAGCGCATTCGAGTCGCGTGCAATTGAGCCAGCCAATTGACAATTGATCAAATCAGTTGATGCATTGATCAATTTTATCGAGCACGGTTAGATCGGTCCCTCTGGGGTAGCACTGGCAAGGCTACAAACCCACTAAAGCTTTCCCCACAGTCGCTGCCTGTCATTGATATTTGTGACCTCGTAATTTTTCACAGCCTCGCATACCTCAAACCCATCAACGACCAAACCTCACAGCAATCTCCCCACGCCGCCTGCACTCCCCGATAAGCTTCTCAACAAGCATTGCGATTTGGATTCCTTCTTCGCTCTCGCCTCCCAGCACCCTCGCGACTCCAACCACACGCAGACCGAACCACAATCCACTCCCCCAATTCACCATGTCAGATTCCGATGGCGAGTACGTCGCCGACGACATGTCGGACGACTTCATGGACCACCAAGTAACGAGCACAACCGAAGCCAGAGACGCCTCCAGGAGTCGTCGGCGCGACAAAAAAAGCCACCAAAAAGGCGGACGCAAAGCGGCGTGGGAAGACGTCAAGAGAAGCTGGGACACCGTGGTCGAGGGCCAGGACGGCAGCCTATCGATAGCGGAAGTGATCGAGGCGCAGAAGCGCAAGAGGTTATTACGGGACACGACGCCCCTCGAAAGGGGAATCATACGGCACCTGATGCTCGTCATCGACATGTCGTTCGCCATGGCCGAGAAGGATCTCCTGCCGACGAGGTACCGACTTACGATGACGTTTGCGGCCGAGTTCGTCAAGGAGTATTTTGAGCAGAATCCGATTTCGCAGATGGGGATCATTGGGATGAAGGATGGCGTGGCGGTTAGCGTGAGTGAGATGAGTGGGAATCCGACGAGTCATTTGGAGAAGGTGGCGAGGTGGAGGGATGAGGAGCCGAAGGGTAATCCAAGCTACCAGAATGCCTTGGAGATGTGTCGCGGTGCACTATTGTGAGTAGATTACCTGGGTGTGGTTTTTCTATTCAGTCTACGTCTTTTGTTTGGGGGCAGGGAGCGCGTTTTGAAGCACTCCTGCACATAACGGGGAACGAGGAAAGCTAACTTGTCGGATGCAATAGCAATACGCCTTCCCATGGCACACGAGAAGTCCTAATCGTCTCTGGCGCCATCCTCTCCAGTGACCCCGGCGACATCAACGAAACGATAGCAAGCCTCATCCAAAACAACATCCGCGTCTCCATAATCGGCCTAGCCGCGCAAGTATCCATCTGCGAAGAGATATGCCGACGGACAAACGCCGGCGACACGACGCAATACAACGTCGCCATGGACGAGAAGCACTTCCGCGAGCTCTTCCTCGACAAAACCACACCGCCGGTAACCCGCACCGAGGAGCAGAACGCCGCGAGCCTCCTCATGATGGGGTTTCCCTCGCGCACGCTCGCCTCGGGGACGGGTATCAACTACTGCGCCTGCCATAATAAACCCCTCAGGGAAGGTTACCGGTGTACACGCTGCGGCACAAAAGTCTGCCGCATACCCGCCGACTGTCCTGGCTGCGGGCTCACACTCATCCTCTCGACGCATCTCGCCAGATCCTACCACCACCTGTTACCCCTCCGCAACTTCGTCGAAGTCCCCTGGTCGGAAGCCGCGAGGTCCACGGCGTGCTTCGCCTGCCAAGCGCCGTTCCCCGAACCCCCTAAGAAGGGCCCTTCTACTGAGCCGCCAGCCCCGAAACCTCCTGAGGTCAAGGGCGTAAGCGAGAGCAGCAGATATGCTTGCAAGAACTGCCACTCCCACTTTTGCGTCGACTGCGACGTCTTTTGCCACGAGACGGTGCATAATTGCCCCGGCTGCGAAGCCGGTCTCCGAAAACCTAGGGCTCGGCCGGTGGAGACTAACGGAAACTCTACGAATGGGCACACGAACGGTGCGATGATCATTGATTAAAGTAAAAAGTGCGCTATAGGTTAGGTAGGGAGTGATGGAAGATGGGGCCGCGAGAGCATGGCATGTACAACACAATAGGGGAATGGGGGGGTGCTATTTCCGGACGCAACACGACCACAACCATACAAAAATTTCTGACGATACGAATATACGAACTATAAAAACAAGGAGCATAGAGGAGGATTTTTCTTGAATAACAGTGAGGGACGTGCCGAGGGCACAATTTCATTCTGGCTTTCTAGCTACCATGTTTGATACCTATATTCACGAGTGATGCAGAAGAACTTCATTCTTCTTGGTGCAGAGGATGAGAAATGAAAATACAACCACAAAAAAAAGCGGGCGATGCAAAAAAATGAATACAAAGAATGATCATGCTTCGTTAAAGGCGACCCTCAGCTCTGCCAAGCGGATGCTTGCCCGAGTTCCCGACAGTCTCTCATATCCAACAAACATATACATTCCAATGTGCAAAAAGAACAGATGCTTAAAACAGAAGTCACAAACTTTTATAGGTTGCCCCTCATGGCCTGCTCACGCTCGATGGCCTCGAACAAGCTCTTGAAGTTACCCGCACCGAATCCGTCAAACGAATTCCTCTGAATAATCTCAATGAAGACCGTCGGCCTATCCATCAGAGGCTTGGTGAACAGCTGAAGCAGATATCCCTGCTCGTCATAGTCAATGAGAATGTTCAGCCTCTCAATGGTGTCGAAGTCCTCCCTGAGCTCCCAGTTCCTCCTCTCCGTCTTGAGCCTCAACCGCATGGTATCGTAGTAAGTCTTGGGCACGTCGATGAATTCGACACCTCGGGCACGAAGAGATGCCACGGCCAATAGGATGTCATCCGTCAGCAGGGCAATGTGCTGGATGCCAGGGCCGGAGTTGAAGATGATGTACTCCTCGATCTGGGATCGCTTCTTTCCAGGGGCAGGCTCGTTGATGGGCATCTTGACAATATTGTTTGGAGAAGACATGACAATACTGTTAAGGGCCGAGAACTCGGTGCAAATCTGCGAGTCGTCGACGGACCAGAAGCGGTGGAAGTCGAGACACTGCTCGTAAAACGCACAAGCGGCGACCATCTCGTTCCAAGATTGGTTGCCGACGCAGTGGTCGATGCGGTTGAGAGGAACATCGGGATACTCAACGCGGGAAGTGCGCCCCGCCTCAGCGCGGTAGCCCGGCAGGAAGGGGCCGTTGTAGTTAGCACGAGAGATTAGCGTGTGGGTAGTATCGCCGTAAGTGCGGATGACGGCGGTGGTCACCTCGCCGTGCTCTCCGTGCTGGGTAACCTTGGGAGGCTGGACAGACTTGGCACCCTGCTCGACGGCCTTTTGATACACGCCCTCAACGTTGTCGACCTCGAAGGCGACATCCTTGACAGCATCACCGTGCTTCTCGAGATGGTCGTGCATCTCGCGGAGCTGTTCAGCCTCCTCGGGAGTGATGGGCTCATCCTCGGGGAGGTGGTGGAAAGAGCGGAGAGGAGAAGTGAAGACGAATCGGACATCCTTGCTTGCTACTATGTATGATGCCTGGTATCGACTTCCGGTCTCGAGGCCCTTGTATGCGATGGTCTTGAAGCCGAACAGCGTCGTGTAGTAGGACGCTGCTTGCTTGGCGTTGCCAACCCACCATGTTACATGGTCGTAGCCGCGGAAGTTGGGACCGGGTTCCTGGACAGCCTGGACGGAAAACTCTGTGTTCTGGACGGTGGAGGAGAGAAGGGTAGCGCGCTGGGGCGGCGAGTCTGTGATAGCTGAGGGGGCCATGGCAACAGGGGACAAAAGAATACTAAACCAAGAAGGCTTCGGGGGGTACGACACTGTTAGGGGAAACAAAGAGCAGTTATCAGACTTCAGGTTATAGGTAGGGCAAGGGCTCGGCTTCTAAGGAAGAGAGTTCTGAGTGATCAAGTTATTCTCAGTTGATGATGATTGAAATAGGATTAACCAGGTTTCACGGTTGAACTGAAATGAAGCAGACAGGATGATTACGGTCGGAAAGAGCCCTTATTATCAATGTTTCTACAGTGTCGTAACTTCGTAAGGACGGGGCTTAACTACAATGTTTGTTGGATGGGCGGAATAGCTTCCAAAGGGAAGCCGCCGCTCGGCCTAAGAAGCTGTATAAAGTTCCTCGAGCGCGGAACGGGCAGTCAGCACTGACTTCACCGAGACAAAGTTCCGTTCCCTTCCTGCCTACCCCACACGGCCACGCTCGGCCTGGGAAGGAGTGTACCGTAGTAGTGACGGCTGCGGCAACTACGCTTGTATCCCGCACTCCCTCCGCATTCTTTGTCGCGAGCTGACCAGTGATTGCCATGGAGGCGCGTCAAGTGGTGGAGTGGGAGCGGGGCCAGACTCAGGTTGTGCCGGTCTCCTACCTATCGCATGACATGTGCCCACATTCCCATCGGGAAGGAAATCAAGGAAAGCGCGTTTAAGCCACCCCAGATGGATGAGGAACATCTGATGGAAGGGCTGTTCTTGCGTCGCGGAAAGTCACCGAGTTCGAGATAGGGGCGCCCGGACCTAAGTCAACCGCAGAAAGCCGAAGGTGGCCGGGGTCTGATAGCTTCGGCTTATCGACCATTCATTGTGCGCACAACCCGGATTACGAAAGGTACGGGTGTCCACAGCTGACGTCAATTTTTTTTTCTGGGGTGGGAAAATGTCGTTATCCTCGTTGTCTCAACGCAATGGGGCCGATTCAGTGCCTATCTCCGGTCATGGAGTCTAGATGGGCCCATGCTCCGCCGATTTCCGCTCTCGACAGTGCTGCGATGTAATCCCTTCGAACGCTATTCGCCAGAGGCACCCGCTAGCCCCCGGGTTGTATCTCTCGATTATCCCCTCGATCTCGAGAAACCCTTCTCCTCAGCATCTCATCATACCTATTCGTATAATCTCCAAGGACTCAACTCATCTATACTCGTATCCTTGTTAATCCTGAATATCACTTCGCGAATTTGTCCAATTTGCGTTGCGTTCTTAGAAGAACTTCCGAACACTCCGACAGCCCGCACGCCGCTAGCCCGCACGCCGCCAGCATCGCAACTCCTAGCAAACAAAGATGGCCTACATTTCGCTCAGCAGAAACGACATCAACGTCCTTGAGAAGATTAAGGATCCTGAGACCGACCCAACCGCCGTGGTACCCATTGATCCTCAATTACCTCGTGATCCCCATGTTACCGACGGGGAGGTCTATACCAAGATTGTGAATAGAGAGCGGGAGATACTTCTCTCTATCCAAAAACTCGAGTTGCAGCTTGCCAATTTGCAACCCAAGACGATCCCGGAGCCAGTGGCTTGGTACAAAGAGTGCCTGTCCAAACTGGACGACATTATTGAGGAGTTCCCGAACTACGCCAGCGCAAGGAACAACCGTGCCCAGGCGTTACGAAGGCTGTACGGCGATAACCTCTTAGTCGGGACCCAGTCGGCCAAAGCTTTAATTCCGCAACCGGACAGCAACACTAGGAAACGTGCTGCGAAGACAATGTTGGAAGATTTAGATGCTTCGATTAGGCTGCTATCACCGACCACTCTTTCGACTCCCATTTCCCCCCAGGCAGCCAAGACGTTATCGATGTCGTATACTCAGCGTGCCGCCATTTATCACGCAACAGGAAAATCGTTCCCCGGCAACCTTGCCATTCCAGAGAGCAGGCGTGAACTCTCCTGGACCAAATTGGACTTTGAAGAGGCTGCAGCGGGAGACTTCGCGATGGGCGGCAGGTACGGAAACGAGATCGCCAAGGGACTCGCCGTCAGCGTAAACCCGACGGCGAAACTCTGCGGTCAAATGGTTCGTGAGGCAATGAAGAAGGAGTACGGTCCGGCGTTCGCATGATGATGTTGTACATTATGACCATTCTATATGAAGTTATGTCCGAAACTTGCTTGGATAGCGAGGCTGGTCTCGATCCGCTATCGGCGTCTATGAATTTTGGGTTGGAGGAATTATGGAGTTTGCTTGGAGAGTCCGACACGCCTGATGCGCAATTATTAGTATTTATGATCATTACCGTTGTTTGCGTATTTCTTATATATATTTTTTGCCTTCTTTTCAAAAACGTACCGAAGCGCTAATTTGAGAATCTCGTTGTTTGTCCTGCCTTTCTCCATCTCTTCCCGTCGTATCCGTGTTACAGCCGCGCCAACACCGATGACGACAGCAAAAATCGGGTCGAGAGTCCGAGAGATGATGTATGTTGGCGGCGCCATTTTGTCTTGCTAGAGTGCACTGCTCGTGTAGAAATTCATCAATCAGAGCTGCTCAAGGCCGAGATCAGAGTCATGCTGCGAGGGAGTCAGACTTCTTTGTGACCAAACAAGACTGCGAGGCGAAGGTCAAATCTCGGAAGATGCCGTAGTCAAGCACGGGCCATACAATTGGACGAAGCAGGCCAGCTGCTCTCAATTGAATTGAGGTCCACTGTTCTGTCTGGTCGCAGAAGCCAGAAGGTTGGTCTGATCGGAAAAATACCGGCACGTGATCCGCTCTCTTTGCCCCAAAATTCTGAAGCCCACACAATCCCAAAATTTCTCGTGGAAAATAACCCCCCTCCGACTTCAGACTTCAAGCCAAGCGGAACCACCCATAATTTCGTCACCAAACACCCAGCGACAGACGAACAAAATGAAGTTCCTCAAGGTCGGACGTGTCGCCATCATCACTCGAGGCCGGTATGCCGGCAAGAAGGTACGACAATTACTCCTCGATTTCCGTCGTTTTTCAGTCACGTATCATACATATCCCGGCGCGAATCCCCATGGGCGGGAGGAAGATTTCACATAGTGGGAAGAGGAAGAGGAAGAGAGGGAGAGAGAGGATCGTGACTGAATGAAAATTGTTACGGGGGCTTTGTATGGGGGGTGCTGGCGAATATGGAAAGCTGACGTCCCATTCCTTTTTTTTTTTGCAGGTCGTCATCCTTCAACCCGTCGACAATGGCAAGAAGCCTCACCAGTTCGGCCACGCCATCGTAGCTGGCATCGAGCGATACCCCTCCAAGATCACCCGCCGCATGTCGAAGCCCCGCCAAGAGAAGCGATCCAAGATCAAGCCCTTCATCAAGGTGATAAACTACAACCACCTCATGCCTACGCGATACACGCTCGAACTCGAGGGTCTCAAGGGTGTTGTTTCGGCGGACACTTTCAAGGAGGTTTCTCAGCGCGAGGATGCCAAGAAGACGGTCAAGAAGGTCTTCGAGGACCGATACACTAGCGGAAAGAACAGGTGGTTCTTCACACCTCTGAGTACGTTCATATTTTTCCCACCTCCCTTTCAACCAGATCTCCGTCCGCCTACGGCCCTAGTATTCGTTCTGGAGAATATCGCGACTAACTTGGGGCACTGCGCTATACAGGATTCTAAGCGTTTCCTCTTATCACTTGGCTGGGGAGTTGGGTTGGCTTGTTAACAGCATCCGAATGGCATTTTAAGAACCGTCGGTTTTACGGGCTCAATACAAAAAAGAACACATTGATATGACCAAGCAGAAAAGTTCTCCTCGTTTTATGTCTGTGTCGGGTTGTTGGCAGTGATGAATGAAACGTGTTTCCCGAGGTCTCATTTTCTTTTTTTTTTCCTACTGTTCGGATTTAGGTGGGCCCCTTTGTGGGCAAAGGGAATTTCGACACCGGATGAGAGAACCGAAAATGGAAACATTGAACCCATCGGCATGGATATACCCGCGACCGACTCCTTCTGGTACCACTGCTTCCGTATAATCCGGATCTGGCGTCATATTTTAGAGATTAGAAGGATGGATTTGTCAAGTTGTCCCCTGTGGGTTAACTCCCGTGAATTATCAGTTTGCCAACGTGAGTTCTCGGTAAAGGTGCTTTCAAGGATGGACGTCGTCGTGGGAACGTCTCCGGCGAACCCCAGAACACAGGGGCGTCGATCAAGAGCGCCGTCGATGTTGGGCTGCATGTACTCTCACCGGTCGTAATCCCTTGGTCTGCATTCAAATCGGAATAGCTTCTAACCATAGTATATCGAAAAGTCCCCTCCGCGTCTATCATTACAATACCAGGATACACTCACTGGACAAGCATTTTCATACCACCCATATATAGCATAATACATGCATATTTTATGGACTAACAGGACTCCAAACGCCTAGTAGCCACAGCCCTGTTTCAAAGAAAGAAATCGAGGGAAAACAGAAAGAAAAAAAGAAAAGAAACAATCATCGTCTATCCAACCATGTCGAAAAGGGAAAGGGCTCCGGAATAATTTGAACGCGATCTCATGAAGAGCTTGTTAGCATGGTATCCCGATCAAACGGAGAATACGGCCTAAAGCTCCGTAGCAACAAGTAGACAATGAGCAATACGCCCGCAACCAAGGAAGCGCGACGCAAGAGAGGTTTGCTCGCGCCAAGGGAGGAGACAGAGCTACCAGCGTCGACAAACAATTTCTTGACGGCATCGTACCCGAGTTTGTAGTAGATGATGCCGCAGAGGGATATCGAGTAGCCAAAGGCTTGGAGGGCGGTTACTTCGGTGCCCCAGATGATCATGGAGGCCGTGACGAGAAGAATGTCTTTGAGGACACCGCAGAGGGTGAGAACTACGGCTGAAGTTTTGCCGATCTATTCGACGTGTTAACGTTTGGAAGAAAAGTAAAGAAGAGTGAATGCGGCCAAAAGAGAGCTGAGGAGGGTTATAGGTATGTAAACTTACGAGTGAGACGGCGGCCAAGTTGAGAAAGAAGGCAAACATGCCACTAATTGCGAAATTGAAGAAGCCAACATTGGCGAATTCGGCGGCGGTCACCTTGGGAATGTCCCAGATCAAGGCGACAATGAAATTGAGGACAGCGCAGATGGGGGAATAGTAATAGATGGAGAGAAGAGGATCCATCTTGAACTCGGCGGTGAGTAACTTTTGAACCATGCTAAGACGAGTAGCCTCGAACACGACGGCTCCCAGCTGGAAGAACACGCCGATGGGGACAAAGTCGATCTCTCCAATGGAAGCAAGGAGGATACCGAAAGCGATGATGGAGACATTGAGCAAGACTTTGAGGTTGGGGCGGCTAACGCCAAGGAGCCAGCCGGATAGGAGCACGGCTACGGGGGTGGTGGCCTTGAGCATCTGGATGAAGGCGACCGAGAGGTAGAGGTAGGCGCGGTTGCTGCCTATCAGACTGAAGCTGAAGGTTATGCCGATGGGGAGGATGGCGCGCATGTAGACTTGGGGAGTCATCTTGATCTTGTGCCGGCTATCGAGGAGGGTTGTCCATCGTGCCATGATCTGGGTTAGGAGGGCGGCGAGACCTAGGTGGTAGGTGGTCAAGATGATTGGATAGCCTTTTTTTCCATTTCCCGAGTATAAGTATTTAATTCCGTCAAGCGAGGCATCGTATTAAAGCTTACGAAAATTGAGACTGTCGAGGAGCCATTTGTTATGGAGGATGACTGCGGAGCTGAGGGAGATCCAAGATCTAATGAGCTCTCATGTTAGCTATGTATCTGCGCAGCTAGGATAAAAGACGAGAGAACTCGATGACGAATGAAACCTACACTACATAGACCGCTGCGGGGACCGAGGGCTTCGCCTTTGGAGGATATTTCCCATCCAGATCAGGGTTGGCCACTGGCAGCATCGGACCATCCTCTTCCTTCGGCTCAAGGAGCCCTGCCTTGTTGTTCATACTGGCTTACGTGCAGAAGGACGAAGAGTTGGGATATGTGAGTTCCTTCTGAGTGGAATTGAATTTAGGGTTCTCAGAGTGAAGCGCCGTCTTATGAATGTGGTTGAGATAGATTGGTGGCGGCAAACATCCAAGGGCGTTCAGCGACTGAGTCCAGACCTTACCTCATGATTGTCGAAGTCGCAGACCCAACGTGTCGTGAAGGCGCAGTACCGCAATTGGACAGGCGATTGAGAAGCCCCTCGTTGTACCCTTATTGGTATGAATACGAGGTATGTGTTCAATGGACTCGAGTCTCGACACACCAGGGCGGCTAATATTAATGGTTACTTGCCCCTGTACCTAGTAAGATTCCGGAAACGGCGCGGAATGTTGCAGGTTGAGGCGGATCTTTTGATGAGAACAGCTAGATGTCCACTGTCGTCACACACGGAAGGTTATTTTTCGGAAGTTAAGAGAACGTTAATGGCTTCCTGGGCAGCCGAGGCTCGTCAGGAACAGCGAAAGTTGAGGCCTTTGTTGAAGTCGAGGAGGAAGCAGAGGATCGGTTTCAGGCTCTACCGAAGGATTCTCGTCACATTGATCAAAGCTGGCCTTTTGGAAGGCCGATCGGCTGATGCCGCCGTCTTAAACTGTGAGACTTGACAGGTCAACTTGTCCTCGTCCACATCTGTCCAGAAACATCATCTCTAGAAATGAAAGAGAGCACTTCATACATAGGTATTCTTAGGCGTCAGTGGAGGGGAGCCTAACGTTTTTATCAGGGGCTAGGGTTCCTGGTCAAGCCAGGCTGTGCCTGAGAAATCCAGCGGAAAATAGTATAGCGTGGTCTTGGATGGACAAAGACGTTGCATCCGACGATGGGATCACATCACCTTGTGGACACTGCAGGCCTACTAAGTGAACTACACTACAGGGTACGAACTGCTTGGTACGGATAAACCTGCAGGACATCCGCACCCCAGCTTGGCGACAACTGCAAGTCAGTCTAGACCCCAGGCAAAAAAGCCATAAAGCTGCAGGTCTACCACCGTAGAGCAGTTGGGACCACAGGCGGCGCGTGTAAGACCTTTCCTTTCCTTTTTTTTTTTTTTTCTTTTTCTTCTTTTAGCTTCTCAGCTTCTAGCCTACTTCCTATGAGCAGCAAGTACAAGACTTAATTCAGCACTGAGGCTTCTTAGCCCTTGATTGTTGACCTTCATTTCATAGGCTCATCCCATATCCCGTATCCCGTGCTAAATGAGGCCTGTCGATTGGTGGCACTTGAAGTGCCTGCATCGTTACGACATTGGGCTGGAACCAACTGTGGCCAGTTGAAATTGAGTTTTAGGTTGTGGCCACCCCCTGAAAAGATCTGGAGCGATTAATGAACAGCACAGAGCGTCGGCGGTGTCGGATCCAGGAACCATCCACCCACAAAGCACGAACTACGTTTACACTACTGCCAGGCACTGGTCCAGATGAAGCACCAACGATCGCCTTGCACTGACAGCGACGCTCCTAGGGCTTGCTGGCGAATTTCTTTGGCTATCGGGGGGCCTCGGCAGCCCGCGCCAAGGCTAAACAATCTCTTAGATGTAGTTTCGAGTTCTAAACCTCACATTCTGTCGTCTTCCCCGTCTCGTACTTTGACTGGGCAGATCCTCCAAACGCTTGTGTGAAGTTGACTATAATTGATGGATTAATACCATCTAACTTGGCATCATTGATTCATTAAATTTACCCAGATCGCGAGATGTAGTGTTCTCTCACACACACATTCTTTCTGTCCCTTTCTTTCTTTTTCATTTATTTTTTATATGTATTTTACGGTTTACTCTTTTCAATCCACACTCATTCTCTCATTGCCCTCTTTTCTTCCCTCTTTTTCTTTTCTTCAAGGTAGATATATTTCCGGAGCCCGGTTGCGCTTGTTCTCGTCGATTCGGCCCTTCATTCCGCATACTGCCTCGCAGACGGATGTTGTCGCCGTCCATGACACCTCAGATGTAGGTAGCTAGCTTTCTTATCTCTTTAGGTTTTATGTCCACACTGCCGTTCCCTAAGTCTTCGCTAGAATTGGTCGCTCGGTTAACCTCTCCGCCCAGCAATGTCGATGTATTGGTTATTGGTGCTGGTCCCACGGGACTTGGTGCTGCCAAACGTCTTCATCAGATCGTAACCGCCTTCTTCCCTGGCTCCATTGATACCGGATAGTGAGACTAAGACGTGCTCCAGAACGGGCCCTCGTGGCTAATCGTGGACTCAAACGAAAAACCCGGCGGTCTTGCCTCCACCGACGTTACCCCCGAGGGATTCGTATGTGCTCTGTCTCCATCAACTAACCGCTACTCGTGAGAACTTCAATCGCCATTCTAACTAAGAGGCGGTAGTTGTATGATGTCGGCGGACATGTCATCTTCTCTCATTACAAGTACTTTGACGACTGCCTAGACGAGGCTCTTCCGAATAAGGAAGACTGGTACCACCATCAACGCATATCTTATGTGAGGTACAAGGGACTCTGGGTACCTTACCCGTTCCAAAATAACATCTCCATGCTTCCCAAGGAAGATCAAGTCCACTGTATAGATGCTCTTATCGATGCCGCAATGGAATGCCGGACAGCTACTACGAAACCCGCCAACTTTGACGAGTGGATCTTGCGTATGACGGGGAAGGGGATCGCTGATATTTTTATGCGCCCGTACAATTGGAAGGTGTGGGCGGTGCCCACAACTATGGTATGTATCATACTGCAATCCGGGAATGTGGTTGGTCTTTCTTTTCTTCGTCAAGGCTTACATCTAGGCTTAGATGCAATGTGACTGGCTGGGCGAGCGTGTAGCTGCCCCGGATGTCAAGTCTGTCGTCAGGAACGTTCTTCTGGGCAAAGTCGCAGGGGGCTGGGGACCGAACGCGACATTCCGGTTCCCCGCTCGGAGCGGCACGGGTGGCATCTGGAATGCCGTTGCTGCAACCCTTCCAGATGAGATGAAACTCTTTGGGGAGGGAAGTACGGTAGTCAAGGTGGATGCCGGATTAAAGTTGGTGACTCTCAAAGATGGGACGACAATACAGTACAAGAGATTGATATCAACGATGGCAGTCGATAACCTCGCCGGGGTAATGGAGGACGGGGCGCTGGTGGCACTGACAGAGCAGCTATTCTACTCGTCGACCCATGTTATTGGAGTTGGGCTCCGTGGTGAGCGCCCAGACGCAATTGGCGACAAATGCTGGGTAGAATAATGAATGTTCCCGATAGATAAAAGGGGAGATATGCTGACAGCCCTTCTATAGTTGTACTTCCCTGAAGACGATTGTCCATTTTATCGCGCCACAATCTTCTCCAACTACTCGCCATACAATCAGCCGTCTGCTGATATCGAGCTACCAACAATGTTCCTAGCTAACGGCAGCAAACCAAGCTCTACCGACGCAAAGCCGGGGCCCTACTGGTCCATCATGCTCGAGGTCTCAGAGTCTTCGATGAAGCCTGTTGACCACGATACACTCCTGGAGAAATCCATTCAGGGCCTTCTCAACACTGATGTGATTCAGCCAGAGGATGAGATTGTATCTACGTACCATAGGAGATTCGGCCATGGATACCCTACGCCGACCATCGAAAGAGACGGCGTCCTCGACCAGTTACTTCCAAAGCTTCGGTCTATGGACATCTACTCTCGAGGCAGATTTGGGAGTTGGAAATATGAGGTAAGCGGAGTTTTATTTCTCACTCGTCCAAAAAGATGCTAGAGGATCTTCATTCCTCATTGTCTGTTCCGACTCGTTGACCTTCGTCTAGGTCGGAAACCAAGATCACTCTTTCATGCTCGGGGTGGAAGCGGTTGATAACATCGTCAGCGGTGGCATCGAACTGACGCTTAACTACCCTAACGTCGTGAATAATCGCCGGAATGGTGAGCGCCGTTTAAATCAGGACAATGATATAACACCGAGGCTTGGGGCCGGCAATCGACTTAATTAAACATGAGTCAATCCACTATCCATAAATATCGCTATACGGTCTTACGCTGGTGCCTGTTTGAAGCTCAAAGGTGCTGCTCCATTTCTCAATAAGACGCTCGCCGGAGTTTGATGGAAATCTAGGGCAGGTAGTACTTCTAACCAGGGGGCACACACTGCCAAGCTGATTAGGTTCAGCCTTAACTTTTGACAACTACTGTACACTTCCACGTCGTGCCGACATATCTTGCAAGCCCACGTTGTCGTCCACTCGCCGCACATCTTTCTCACCGCCATGTCTGATGCCAGTGCTGTCCTCAAAGGTACCTGTGCATACCTTGGCGACAGCCCGAAGTTGGGAGTTCTCGGTATACATGTACAACTGCTACGAGGCTAGGTATAAGTGTCTTCGTGTGAGCAGGCTTCTAGTAGGCTTCTAATAGCATCCGGTTTGTCTAACAATCTAGCAATATACATAGATGAAAGAACATCTTCTTTGAACACATCTTTGAAGAAGAAGCTGTGGCGAAATAAAATTTCTACAACAATCACATCACATGCAGACCACGACCGCCCCCGTCCGCATCCGACGACATCTATTTAGTGTATCCGCAAATCTCGCGGACCACTTCACCGTTTCCAAAACCGGGGAGGTACCCACCACGAACTAGGGATCCTCCAAGCTTCCCGATCGTTTTAGATGAATCAACAGGGCGGGTCGCTTGGGCGAATTTCCTTTGATTGAGCTTGATCGCTTGACTCGCTTTCGCTTAGGGCTCCTCTGCGGATCATCGGAGACCGCATCCGCAGACACCTGACTCTGCTGTTGCGACCTACGACCGACCGATGGAGTCTGGGGGAGCGGAGATGTGTCGTAGGCGTGTGGTATTTCTAAGCCTCCCGGAGGCCGCGGGATGGAGGCTTTCCCCGGGACTCTAGCATTTGCGGCCCGGATGAATATGTCGCGGTACTTTTTTGCCAACAGCCTAACATTTCGGAAGGCAGTAACTGCTCGGCAAAGAGATTCGACGTCGGTCCATAGTGCCCATTGATCTATTGCGGTCATAAAGTAATGAGGCAAGTCTCCCCAAGCAGCTGGTCCACTGATGTGGTGTGCATAAAGTACGAGGGTGGTGCTGGTCAGCGTGCAGCTGAAGGCGTAAGGCTTGCCGTCATACTCGTTGGATTCCACCATGCCATAAGTTCGTATGCTGTGCATAGCACGACATCCCAATGCGCCGTCAATGCGGGCCTGCTGTTCGGCTACGGACTCCGCGCCAGACGGACCTTTGACTTCCACAAAGAAGTTCGGCACCACCGGCCTATTCTTCCAGTTGGATGGCACAATTAGCTTATCAAGTTCATTGCGGAGCTGTCGGGAGACCTCTTCGGGACGCGCGCCATAATATAAGTCCGGTTCGGCTAATGCAGTCTCGTCTGCAATCGCGGCGAGATTATTGAACTGCGTTTTCATGGCGGATGGATGGCCGATATCATCTGGGCCGGCAATGGTCCATAGAATTTTCATCACATCCTCCTCGTTCTGGGCGCTCAGACACTGGGACCGGATATTTATGAACTCCTGCGCTGAGTAGTAGACCGACGGGAGCTGAACCGCCAATGCTTCTCTGAGCTCCGTGAGGTCTGCCTCTGACGAGGAAGACCTAGTGTGGATGTTGTGATCCGTTAGATGTTGACTGAACTCTCTATCATACGGGCGTGTCTTTTGGGGGTTGCGGGGAGCCGCTGTCGATAGGCGGATCTGATCTCCCATGGTCGGATCGGCATACTGAAACGAGGTTCATCAGAAAATGAAAAAAGAAAAAAAAAAAAAAAAAAAAAAAAAAAAAAAAAAAGTAAACCTCTAGTCTCTGGTTCCTGCGTGAGATTCTTACTCCTCTTAGATCAGACAAGTCTGGTCCGCCGAACCTTGCAAAATGGGCAAGGCCACGATCGATAGAGACGGTGTCTGGGAGGCAATGTGTGCTCGACCTCCGGGGCAAAACCGCGGGGCGAAGGATACGGTTACGGCGGTTGAGCTCTTTCAAGGCTCCGGGGGTCAGCCAAACTTTGGACAAACGGTCGTAAAACTCAGGGGGATATTGCCAAGATTCGTCTGAGTTCGTGTCTTGAGAACTCTCCTCCAGAAACTCGTCTCCATGCCGTGAAAAGCTAGTCGGCGTCGCCATGACGGATATATAGGGCGATTGGGAAAAGCTGCCACCTTTGTGGGAAACGCCAGAAAGTTGTGCCGTCGGAGGTTGATCCCAAGTCGATGTGTTCGATGTGTCCGATGTGTCGCGCTTGAGCTAGCACATTCGTGTAGGAGTGTTTTGGACCTAGACACGTATGGGGAAGTGGACAATACTGTTTTATGATATTCGATAGCTTTCATGGAGCTATTTGAGATATTTCGTCGGGCATTCTCTTTCATGTAAGGTGGCCTCTGCACTGGTCAAGAACGAAAGCAGAATGAATCAGTATCCAGTCCGCGTCAGAGGCCTTTGTTCCCAAAGGGGACTTCCCTGAACGCGGAAACGGCAATTGTTCTTTCACTTTAGGAAGCCTGTGGAATTGCATTCCCTCAGCCTCATTGGGCAAGGAAGGTATCTAAGGGGTAACAGGACCGGCAGGATCCCGAGAGGTCAGCACTAGGAACCCAGTGGCACAGATATGCGAAGAGGTTTGGGCGTTTTAGACTGCATACTTACGGTAAGGACGGCTCTGAACAAATTCCGGAATGCTTCTCACACGGCTACGAGTCTGTCTGTTATGAGATACGGTACGCGGATACTGATGCTACAAGTTAGGAAGCGTGTATTAGGGGCCAGCCATCAGACAAGCTCCCACCAAAACGAGCCCGGCATCACGGCACGTTGAGGACAAGGCCATACTGCCTCGTATGGTATATACGGATCGATTTGCAAGGATACATTAAGCTCTACTATGGCCAGCTACGTATTGAACCTTGAATACTCACTCCTGAGAAGTTCTCGCCGCTCCAGTTGCGTGTTCTCGAGGGTACAGGTCATTGTTTGAGGGCACCCGCGGAACGAGAGCAACATTTTCCTAACGGCTGTTTACAAACTCTAGGCGCAATTCTCATGGCATCCCACGGTTCACGTTGGTGCTGGAAGAGTAGCAGAAGCAGGTGGAAGCACTCCCGAGTCCGGGAAGCCCTGCTGTTCAATATGGGATGATATCATTGATATGGGCAGAGGCCTCGATGCGTCGCCATGATGGTGGAGGTCTATAAACTAACAGTTGAAATGGACCAAATTCCCATGCAAGACCACCTAGGAAGATTGCACTTCTCTGGTGGACAGTGACGCCTTGCTCGACGTAGACTGTTCAGTCTCGCACCGAACATCCCTGACTTGAAGCAGAGCTCTCTAGCAATTAGGTCGGCGAACGGGCTTGACTTCAACAAGGCATAGTATAGAGAGGTGTTTTGATGACCTCCCATTTCCTCTCCTCCTTCTTTCTGTTCCTTCTCCTTTTAATTCCTTCTCCTTTTTTTCTTCTCCCTTTTTCTTCCTTGCCGCCGGTAACTGTACATTTACGGAGCAGATATGTTTGGCCGCATGTCGGCTATAGATAACGCTGGATGTTTTCCCACGACACAGCCGGCCGAGGCCGGCACGTGAGGAAAGGAGAGACACGGCGCTTCCTCTCCGGTTGCTCCGGTCTCTCCGGTGTTTCCGCTGCTTAGCGAATTACTGTGGAACCGAAATCAGTTATTGTTCAAATTCAACCTTCAATTGTGAAAGAAAGACCCACCACGGCTGCTATTACCATTGGCAGTTGTTGGCGTTTGAGATTCCGAGTTGTCTTGGCCGGACAATCAGATCCATCAATTGGATATCTTGAGCGGCACTAACACCGCATCATTGAGTTTAATAAACCTACGAAAGTGCCTACACTAGGCGCGAGAAGGAACTAGTGAAGTATTATACAGTTGTGACTTTATACTTAACCGTAAATCCCCTCTTCGCAGTTCCCTCATGAGGCCTAGACCACTGTAGTTTCACTGACAGAGGATGGAGATTTCACCACGGGCTAATTTCTCAAGCCGTGCCCGAAGGGAAGGAGGTGGGGCAGGTGCGGCTCCGCCTGTTGTAATCATCTATCCTCGTCCACTCATGCTGGAGATAGAGTGGAGGTCACATCAGGGTGCTTCGGTCTATCCCTTGAACCGATGAGCCAAAATGCCAGTTTGATGCACGACAGATCTGGATCGGATTAAGAAAACCTAAATATGGTTCCTGTCCCGGTCAGAGACTGTGGGCCTTCGTCGCTGATCAGGGGAGTTGGCCATGGTCCCCCTCTTTCTTCTCCTGCTGTTGGCTAGCCTCGCTGCGCTCTCTGTTTCAAGGCCGGGTAGTGTTTATGGACTGGAACCCGACCAGGCTGCGGATGAGACCAGGTACTTCGTTCAAGTCCTTCAGCTCACAGAAAAGAAAAACTGGAAGAATGCTCGCCAGAGGCGACACAGGGCTTTTGTGCGGAACCGATACTTGAGACGACCCGGTCATGTACTCCGTAATAAATGGTAGGAGGACTTGGACATCTACTTCGTACTTTGTAGGCGTTGAGCTAATAACCTAAAAGCATGGCTGCTATCAGTTGATGTGACCTGGTGGTGGAATGGACTTGTCGACCCTTACATCTTTCAATGTCCCGTTTCACGAAGTGGGCGTGGTGCCTGAGGTATTAAATATCAAAGTGGGGGCGAAAGGCCTTGCACTGTGTTAGTCTACTTCGTACACTACCTCCCAGTCTGGGATGCCTGGCGATCATCAAGGTTACACTACGGGTACGGAGTACACTCACTGCGAGCTCGCACTACACTATATTGTACCGTCGAGGTACACCACAGCTCTCTGTCTCATCGATGTTGGGCTAATACCAGACGGCTGGTGTTGTTTCGCCTTGAGGACCTCAATACTGCAGCTGCATGTGGCCAGGGTAGCCTCCACTATGCGTAATTGTGTTAATTCATAATCCATAGGCTGGAAAATGCTTCGAAAGGTGACTGACGCTAGAATTCGTAACGAGTACCTCGGTACGAAGTACAAGGGTACACAGTAATATGTACTTTGCATATGTAACGTGGGGTGCCAGGCCCTGACCAGCCCTCCAGGTTTTCCACAGTATGGAATTAACAAACCCAGCCTCGAGCACTGTATCAGCCACACACCAGTGCAACGAGCATCTAATGTTGTTGTGGCGCACCCCCTTCCTAGCCATGTTTATGGCTTATTACGGTTCGAATGTTTGCTGCAGGACAAAAACAGGCATTATTTGAGCTTACTCGCTGACACTTAAGTGTTTCTACATACTTCATAAGAGGCATGTCTATCTAAGATGCTCCCTGCCTTCCTTTGTGTGCTGTTATAGTTTTCTGTTGATGCTCTCTGCATTGTGCTCGGTCTCAGCCACATCCCCGTCCCCATCCCTTTAATACCGATCGAGTATTAGTGCAGACGCTAACATTGCTGGACCGTCCGTGGATAGCGAAGGTGTGGATCCAGGGAGCTGGTTGCTGCACTTCTCCGCCTCGTCCCTTATCCTTGCTTCCGACTCAACGTCCACACAAACCCCGGCGGGCCCCCTCAAATTTTCCGACAACCACGACAACGACCGTTGATGAAATATGCCCGTATCGACCGCCGCTTGCTGCCTACGTCGATGATGGGTAGATAGGGCCTCAAAACCACCTCCCCTTCCCACCCTGTCGGCCGAACTCGCGCGCGTGCGTGTCCACATATGACTGCCCTAGACCATGGACACCACAGCTATCGTGTCCGACGACCAGTTGGACCCTCCCGTGCGGCTCTTTGAGCGCCTCCGCCAGATCGCTGGCTACACCTGGGATGAGTCCACGGCCCCTGTCCATACCAGCTTCGATGCCTGGTGAGTAGTATCTCCCGCAAGATTATGTTAATATTTTAGTACTTTTTTTCGCATTTTTTTTCTCTCGTCTTCCCTTATCCTACCCCCTGCTCTCCCCCACCTCTCACCTAGAGGGATATTCCTATTTCAACGTCCTTCTTAGCTGGATTTTCCTCGTCTCTTTCTCGACAAGCCCGCTGACACCTGTGTCCTTGGAAGGCTCATCTGCGGAACTCGCTTCGTCTCCCCGTACAGTTCAAGCCCTCCTCACCATGCTTCGAGTCCGGGATCCACCTGTCGGTTCCCCTCTGGGCGACCTTCACCCTCCGATATTTACGTATCTCCCAACTTCCATATCGATTTAAGCTCCGAATCCTCGAATACGACTCCGCCTGCCCTGGCTCCGAACGTGCCCGAGATATCATATATTGAAGAACCTGTCCTTGCCCGTGTATCTTACCAAGTGGTCCGCGAAGAGCGAGCCTTCCACATAACCAAGAGCTTAGTGTCATCCGCAGATCCCCAGGGCGACCACATTATCAAACCACTAGATCTCCTCCGCTTAACTCCACACCAAGGCGACCGCGGTCCTATCGTGCTTGCCATCTATCAGCATCCGGGCCCTAATGCGCTCCGCAGACTCGTTGACCTGGGTCCCGCTTTCTACACCTCTCGCAAATTCGAAGATACCTACCATGCGCACATTAAAACCGACTTACCCCTCGATCCTCCCATCAACCTAAGAGACTTCCTCAACTTTGCCATCGGCGCCGCACAGTGCCTCGAGATTTTGCATCATGGCTTGGGCATGATTCATGGCGAGATCCGGGGCGATGCCTTCCACTATAATATAGAAACCAACAAAGTTAGACTCGTTTCCTTCGGCTCTGGCGTTCGATCCTTCGAACATGGCCTGACCAGCACGGGCTGGTTGGCATTATCGCGGGAGCTCGGTGCCAAGAATAAACTATTGTACATCAGTCCCGAACAGACCGGTCGCATGCCCGCCGAACCCGACAGCAGGACCGATATTTACTCCCTCGGCGTTCTATTTTGGAGTCTCCTCACCCAGCGGCCCGTATTCGAAGGCGAAACTCCCCTCGATATCGTCCAGGGCGTCCTGAGGCGCCGCATCCCGCCCGTTTCCACGATGAGGCTCGATGTGCCGGACGTGATTGGTAGAATCATCCAAAAGTGCACTGCAAAGAATGTTGGGGAACGATATCATTCGGCGAGCGGTCTTCGGCACGACCTTACTACGATACAGGAACTCCTCGGTGACTGCGACTGGCCCGCGCTTCAGGAACTAGACATTGGAACCAAAGACGTCTCTTCCTTCTTCATATTACCCACCAAGATGATCGGACGGGATCCCGAGCGGGCCATGCTTCTCAAGGCTATCCAGCGAGTTGCCTTGAGCCATTCCGTTAACCAGAAGACGGGCGCCGGTGCCAACCGTTTCTCCGACGCCTCTAGCTTCTCCAACGAGTTCCTCGACGGCGCCGATGTCTCAAGTGAGGGCGCCAGCTCCGCCGATGGCAACAATAGACTCAGCAGTTCTTATGCTGCCACCGTATGCTCCGATCCCAGGCAGCCAAAAAACCCCTTCCAACCGTCTCACCTAGCCGAAACTCAGACGATCAATAGCGTCAATAGTGACACCCTGCCATCGCCTGCGTCCGGTCCCGCGGCAAGAATTCCTAAGCCCTGGGATCGTCATCATTCCGTATCTTTCGAAACGAAGAGCCTGATGGAGAGCGCCATGGCGGACCGTCATAGCGCCGTCGAGTCTTCCTCCTCTTCGAGCCTCTCGCGGAAACTCGGATCGGCCAAGTTTCGTCAGCGCGGCCATACCGAAGTCGTTACCATCGAGGGTGTCGCCGGGCAAGGCAAATCTTTTTTGGTGCAGTCCGTGCTGGCTGACGTGCGGCGGCAAGGGTATTGTGCGACGGCAAAGTTCGACACTGCGAGAAGGACTCCGTACGGCCCGCTTCTCAAGCTTCTTTCTTCTCTCTTTAGGCAGATTTGGGGCGAACGAAACACCGAAACACCATTCCATTTGGCACTTAAGCAATATGTGCGACCGGCCTGGCCCATGCTTCACCCCCTCCTCGGACTACCAGAGTTCCTACTTGGCCAGGATAAGGAGAAGGAGAAGGAGAAAGAGAATGTGAGCGGCAACGGTAATGACGGTGGAGGCAGCGTGCCTGCTGCACCTGGAACCGCGAGATCTGCCTCGACATCCTCACGACCACCCCTCAAGAGGCGAACCTCTTCCCCGGGGGCGTCTTCCAGGATATCCCGGATATCATCGGTCAGCTGCCAGAGCTCTCAGGACTTCCTACGCGCCGGTGCGGCCACCAAGACGTCGCGCCTGCTTAACACGTTCCTCGATGTCTTGCGCATGTTCACTGCCCACAAGTTCATCTGCTTTTGCCTTGACGATTTGCATTATGCCGATGATGAGTCTCTCGAGCTGATCTCCCAGATCATCGCTGCGAGGATGAGAATGGTTATTATTGTGACGTACCGACCGGACGAGATTTCACCTGAGAGGGTAAATCGCATCCTTCACCCGCCCGAATCAGAACGTATGTTGCCTTTTCCTTGGGCTTTCCTCTTCTCTTTTTTTCCCTCTCGACTAATTTAACTAACACATTCTAACAGAAATCTCGCGTTCAGGGGGACCGGTCATCACCAAGATCGTCCTTGAACCGTTAATCGAGGCGGATATTGTGGAATACGTCTCAGACACACTTAGCAGGCCCAAAAAGGAGGTCCTGCCGCTGTCTCTCGTTATCCAGTCCAAGACGGCCGGCAACCCGTTCTATATGCGGGAGATGCTAAATGCGTGCCATAGAAAGAAATGCATCTGGTACGACTACAGAGACACCCAGTGGCACTTCGACCTCGACAAGCTGTTTGATCAATTCCGGGGTGAGAAGGATTATGATGTCCTCGATACTGGCTTCATCACTCACCGTCTGAGCGAGTTGCCGCCAGCCTCCCGCTCTATACTCGCCTGGGCGGCTCTACTTGGGCAGGCATTCTCCTTCCAACTTATTCTCCGACTGCTGAATGGAGAATTTACTCGTGACCTTGATGACGAGGGCTCCTGTCCACCCTTAGAATCCTATTCGCAGCAAGACGCGGTCGCGGGCCTCCAAGCTGCTATACAAGCATATATATTAGTCCCTAGCGACTCCGATGACGTCTTCCGCTTTGCCCATGACCGGTACATCCAAGCTGCGGCTGCCTTGAGGGAATGCCAAGCGAGAAGGATGCATTTCGCGATTGCGCAGACGCTCCTCAAGCACTACAGTTGCGATGAAGGAATGCAGGAGAGCACGGCATTGCACATCTGTGAGGCTGTGGATCTTATCAGGCGCCGTATTAAGATCCGACAACCGTTCCGTAAACTCCTATTCGAATGTGCCCAAGTAGCCACCGAAAACGGTGCTAGGCCCACCGCGGCGAAGTATTACAGCAGCGCTGTGGCGCTGCTACAACCTAACCCTTGGGTGGACGATGCGGAAGATGTCTCTTATGAAGAGACTATCCAACTCTATCTACGGGCTGCAGAGTGTGCCCTCTTCATGGGCCACCATGCGGCCGCGAACAGCCTCCTCTCAACTATTTTTAAGAGCGCTAGATCTGCTTTAGACAAAGCCCCGGCTTACGTCTTACGGTCGAGAATTTTTGCGCAGAGCGGCGACGCCGATTCTACATTAATGTCCCTCAAAGACTGTCTTCTAGCTCTCGGCGTGGAGATCGACGAAAATACTACGTACCAGAAATGCGACGAGTGGTTCGAGGGCCTCTGCGTAAAGGTTCAAACAATAGATCGGGACGAATTGATGCGTTCGAGAGAACCAGTTGACCAGAACCTTGCCTCTATCGGAGCGGTTCTTGTTGAGACTCTCAGTGCCGCTTGGTGGATCGACTCGCTACAATTTTACCACCTCTCTCTAACCATGATGGACCTTCACTTGAAGTCCGGCGCCCTTCCGCAATCAGGCATGGCCTTTATGCATTTCGCAGTCGTCGCCCTCTCCCGATTCAATATGGTCCAATTCTCGTGTGACCTCTCCACGATGGCCATGAAGCTTCTCGACAAGTACCACGACCCGTTCACAAACTCCCGGGGCTTCCTCATGTTCGCCAACTTCCTGGCGCATATTAACTACCCCCTAAGCGATACCGTTACCCAGATGGAAGGGTTGGTGGAGTACGCCGCCGTGGCCGGGGATCGCATATCGACTATCCTTTGTGTCGGCATCTGCGCACTTGTGAGGTTTTACGCAAGCGAGAACTGCGCCGACCTCGAAGCGTATTGCCAGTTTGGATGCGAGGAGATCCCTAACTGGCATCAGGATTCTCGCGGCGGCACCGTACTCATATCTGTTCGGCAGACGAGCAGGGCTCTTCAGGGAAAGACGAGGACTTCGGAGCCTAACCATGTGCTTACTGACGAACACCACGACATGGCTGTCTACAAGCAGTGGCTACATGACAATACTCGCAACGGAAACCGCTCGTTACTCGTGTACGAGACGTTTGAGACTCTCATTCTCTTCCTTTTCGGACACTACGACAAGGCCGTCGAAGTGGGTGGCCGATGCCTTGAAAACATATCGAAGCTGTGGTCTTCGCGGAATACTCGATTGACGATGGTTGCGTATGGCCTCGCGCTCGCAGCGCGGATATTTCAAAAGTTGCCAGATCCGAGGCTGGCCGATACCGACGAGCTGAAAGCGGAGGTTAATGACGCGATTACACAGCTGAGGGATTTGACGAAGAAAGTGTCTGACTGGGAGGCTGTCAACAACGTCAACTACCTCGCTTGGTCGAAGTTCTTGGGTGCTCAAGTCGAAGAACTCTCAGGAAATGCTGCGTTCGCCATTCAACGGTATGAAGAAGGACTAGACCATGCTGCTGAAAACGGGTTTTTGTTCGAAGAAGCTCTTGGCAGCTATCTGTTAGGCGCGTGTTTCCTCCGACGCAACGCGAGGAGATCCGCGCGGGCCGTCCTGCGAGACGCCACTAGCCTATACCGACAGTTCGGGGCGTTAGGTGTAGCTGACCATATTCTAGAGGAGCACGCCGGTCTCCTATACGATGCCCGCGTGTACCCACGCCTCGCGGACGCGGGTATCCAAACAGACTTTGCGCCCGATGTGGGCCACGTGCCCTATCACACCCATGTCAACAATGAAGAAGACGATGAGCTGGAGCAAAATGCGCAACTCTCCGATACCAAGGGGGACCGTATCGGAGCGTGGACCGGCTCTATGCATATGCAGCAGGAGGCTGGCGCTGGCTTGCCGGCACTTGATATGATTGATTTACATGCCATCTTGCTCTCCTCGCAAGCGATGTCATCAGTGCTTCAAGTTGAGGATCTCCTGCAGACCATGTGCGATGCGATATTACAAACCTGCGGCGGATCAGCAACATTGGCGTCCATTGTGGTTTCGGATGACGACAATGGTTGGTGCCTTGCCGCCAGTGGAGATCCGGAACGGGGCGCGTCGGCTCACATACCTGGTCTGCCACTCTCGGGAACGTCACTTGTGGCAGAGAACGTGGTCCTTTACTGTACGCGATTCCGGGAGCCTGTCTTTATTACCGATCTCCTGAGCGACGAGAGATTTGGCAACGTGAGCGAAGCCTGGCTCCAGCGGAATCCAAGGAGCAAGGCCGTCATCGCCATTCCGATATCGCATGGCGAGAAGCCGCTTTTGGGAGTCCTCTACCTGGAGGGCGAGCCCGGATCGTTCACGGACCGCAACGTGACGGTGCTTCAGCTCCTCGTCAATCAGATCGGCATCAGCTACTCCAACGCAATGGCTATGAAGGCGATCGAAAAGGTGTCGGCCGAGTACGTGTCTGCACTCACGCTGCAGAAGGATGCATTGGCCAAAGCCCTCGAGGCTGAGACCAAGGCCAAGCATGCCGAGGCCGAAGCCAAGCGCAACGTTAAACTAGCGGAGGAGGCGGCGCGGGCCAAGTCTATCTTCCTGGCGAACGTATCTCACGAGCTGCGCACGCCGCTCAACGGCGTTATCGGCAACTCAGAACTTTTGAGAGAGAGCAACCTTAACAAGGAGCAGCAGGAGATGGCAGACTCCATTCGGGTGTCTGCCGATCTGCTACTTACCGTGATTAACGACATTCTAGACTTTTCTCGCATGGAAGCAGACAAGATGAAACTCTATGTCAGCGCGTTTAATCCCGGGGATATGCTTAGTGAGGTGGTGCGCGCTGCGTCCTACAGCAACCGTGAGAAGGCGGGCCGCGTCAGTATCGTCCAGGACATCAAGTTACCTCCCATGCTTATCTACGGAGACCCGATCCGGCTGCATCAGGTACTCGGCAATCTCATAGGGAACAGTTTGAAGTTCACCGAGAACGGCTCGGTCACGATCGGGGCGCGCGTGGAGTCCGATACCCAGGACAAGGTGGCACTCACCTTCTGGGTCGAAGATACCGGCATTGGCATACCACCGCAACAGCTGGCCAATTTATTCCAGCCGTTTAGCCAGGCCGATGCCAGCACGGCGCGCAAGTACGGAGGTAGCGGGCTGGGCCTCAGCATCTGCAAGAACCTTATCGAGACGATGATGAAGGGCAAGATTCAGCTGGAGAGCCAAGAAAATGTGGGTACCCGGGCCTGGTTTACGGTCACGTTCGAGAAGGCGTCGGCGGACGCCATGCTCGGGGATGCCGTCGGCTCGGAGCCCGTCTCGCCGAGTTCGCTGACCGGAACCGGAGTGTCGCCGGCAGAGTCGTCTTCGGATTCAGATCACAGCTTGGGATCCAACCCGTTTATCGACCTGTCGCAGGTGCCGAAGGACGAGCTACGGATCTGCATCGCCGAGGATAACCCGATCAACAAGAAGATCGCCATCCAGTACGTCAAGCTACTAGGGTATCCGAACGTCGACGCATACGAGAACGGGCAAAAAGCCGTCGAAGGCTTGCGGCGGAGAGCCGCCGAGGGTCGGCCATACCATGTGATCTTGATGGACGTGCAGATGCCGATCCTGGACGGTTACGAGGCCACGAAGGTCATTCGGAAGGACTCGAACGAGGAGGTCCGGAAGGTCCTCATCATCGCCATGACGGCGTCGGCCATTCACGGGGACCGGGAGAAGTGTCTTGCGGCGGGGATGAATGATTATCTTGCGAAGCCGGTGAGGTCGGACGTTTTGAAGAAGAAACTGGAGGCTTATGTTGGGCATTCGGAGGATGCGAGCCCTGAGCCGAAACCAGTGGCGGCGGCGGACGCAGTGGCCACAAGGGATGGCGAACGCAATATGTCAACACCACAAAGGTTAGGCAGTAGCGGAAACCACGAGGATGGTGTCAATGGCAATCCGAGAACCGTCTCAAACAACGACTCGTCGAGAAATGCTGCTCCCCCGAGTGGAACCTCTAGTGCAGGGCGCAACTCGCTCAGCGGTCAGCAGTCGTCAGATGTCGGGGCTTCCGCGGCAGACTCTGGTGGCGGCACTACCAAACGGCAGCCTCGCAAGCTCGTCAAGAATAGAACTAGCGGTGATCTCGGCTCTCAAGGACAGTCGACAACGCAAGCTGTCTCTCCCACCCAGGGTCCTGTTCCGGGCGTGGCTCAGGTACAGACTCAGACCTCATCGCAACAGGCTCTTCCAATAGTTGCTGATAGGGAGAAGCCCAAAGGAGTCCTGACGAAGAAACCTCCTGCTAGTCACGAGTAGTACAGAAGAACAAGGGACGGGGGCCGCAACCTGGCGCACACCGATACAACACGATTTCCTTCATCCCTTTTTTTTTTTTCCATCTCCTAGCCTACTTCTACTTATTGTTGTACGGCCGGTCTTGTAACTTTTTCCCTCCTCTGTCTCTTTGGGCGGGCGATTACTGGGATTCTTCATAATGTCAAATAGAAAGGCGTGTGTTTCCGGGGACTCGATCCTGAACTCTTTAATGGTTCCTTTTCTTTCTTTTCATTTCTTCCTCTTCTGGTCCTCCAACTTTCTCACGCCTTTTTTTTTTTTTTTTTTTACTTTTCTTTTCTTTTCACTTCGGACCCGATTCGGCTCTTGGTCAAGGGACGGCATTTTGCATCATTCGCGGAGCATTTTTACGGGTTGTAGGGTGGATGGAACGGGTTATGTTACCACTACTACTACTACCACTACTACGGAGAGAGGGGGCGAGAGCGTGTTGATCAGCTACTGCTCGGAGACGGAAGGCCCCCGAGGGAAGGGGGTAAGGATATGATTATACCTGGTTTTTGGTGGGGAATGGGTGAAGGATCGGGGATGATGTGGATTTGCTGCGGAGAGGGCAAATCGGATGATACCAACTTCTTTTCTTTCTTCGTCTTCTTCTTTTTCCTGTAAGAGTACGTACATGCATCCTCTTTTTCTTGACACGGAACCTGTTTTTCCTTTGATTCCACAACGTATCTCTCGAAATGTGTCCAGGGGAACTCCTTCTCCCACTGTGACCGAGTGCCATATTAAAGCAAGAATGGGAAAACGAACAAGCGAACATTCTTTTTCTTCCGAGCTAAAGTTTGCGGGTCTCGAAAAACAGTAGCAGCTGTTCCCTCCGCGGTTGGAAAGCTTCTGGTTTGGGCCGCGTTTTATTTGCTCCCCGATGATGGTCCAATATCTTGCCGTCAAGCGGACCGCCAGAACACCTTCCCTCACTTCGGACTGGAGAGCGCGAACGGAAGAAACGTGACGCGTGATTATCCCACGCCTTTCGCCAAGAGAGGTGTGAGCGAACATTTAACAAAGCGTATTATAAACGGGGGTGCTTTCTCCCCATCAGTCGCCCTTGACGCGACAGCGGTTCCTAGGCGCCTCGGCATATTCCCAGCACAGGAAACAGAAAACAAGGAAGAAAGCAGACGGATGATGAAAAAAAAAAAAGAGCCATTCCTGCAAGATAAAAATAGTCGCCTGCCGACATGATGCTGCACGCTCTGACCCTTTTCGATGTGTCAACTTTTGCGCACAGTCTTGACGTTAATCTCTCAGGGCTTCGCGTCAAACTGCGGCCCCGGGCTGTGTTGTCCTCGGTTCGGCAAGTACTAGAGAGTTTGCGTCCCTTAGCGAGAGGGAAAGGGGGGATCAACCATATCCAAAGTGGTTTGGCGACGAGGGTTAAATCGGACACTCTATCATTTATCATATTGATGTTAATTTGCTGCCACCGCACCGCGAGTCATCGTGCATATCCCACCCGCGATTTGCCAACCCATATCAAAGATCCTATTATATAGCCTTGTATTCCTTGTTGGCAGGGCAGGATCCCGTTGATCAATTAGAGGCCCGAAACTGGAATAGGCGCGCTGCAAGAGTTCGTCCACGACTGGCAACCATGTCAGCGAGCGACGAAAGGGTTCCCTCCTCCCCCCAACTTCTCTGCCCAAAATAGACGTGAAATCTCACCCGCCATCTCTTTTCGGATCGTCAAGCAGACGACATCCCCTTCAAGACGAACATGCATGTTCGTATCGCGTAAGAGGTGGCCAATTATTTCGGCTGGCCACTTCGTCATGAAAGTCTCTCTGCTTACCCACCATTCAAATGAACCAAGGTCAGTTCATTATAGGCGCCTGCCATTTCGCTCCTCTAATGTACACCTCCCTCTTCCTTAACGAAAATCTCCCCGGACGAGCAAACGGCTGACGGCTCATGGGACGTAGCGAGATGGAGGGGTTCCGAATCCATCGCTTAATCAAGTTTCTTCGCCTAATTGAGCTTTGGCCAGTGGCTATGCCGCCGATTAAAGAGGAGCAGCCATACTCAACCCGGAACATAGCCTAGAGCCGACCTGCATCCACGTCGGGAGTGCTCGTAACGAGTCGAAATTTCAGGATCGAAATGGAGAGGATATTGGGTATGTTTCGGACCTTAAGGTGTCAGAAGTACCCTCTACCTTTCACAGGATATTTCGTCTTTGCCTACACCCTGCTTTTCTTATTATGCTCTTTAATTCCCCACGGGTTTTCAGCTCTTCCACCCTGGTGCGAATGTGGGACGGCAGAGAAACGCCAGGGCCGTATCAAAGCTCTGCATGAACGAGGCTACGTGGAACTATGGGGAATATGCCAGCGGCTGGCGTCCCGTCTCTCCAACACTATTTAGCTGGCGCACCGACAACCGTAAGGATAAGGGAAACAGGTAATAATACGAATGGGGGAAAAAGGGGGGGAGAGTATGGTACGCATAGACATCAAGAGCGCAAATACCGTGCCGCGTTTCTTCGCCTCGCTGTCGTTTGGTCCGATGACCGCAAATGGCATCGCCCAAATTTTGTTGCCGAGATATGGCCGCCTAAGAAACCTAGGTGTCGATCCTCCATGTGGCACTTTCTGCAAGAGGAGAAGACCCGAGGATCTGTACAATGTGGTTCTGACAGAAGCCTCCTGCGCTAGTACGCTGGCCCGCGCCCGGGATGCTACGCTCCTGATATCATACGGGCCGGTAGTTGTGTAAGAGTCTCGAGTGCGAGAGTATCATCTGGAAAGCCAAGGCCTAGCCACCAGTGAGTAACGCCCTTTTCCTTCAAGGCTCACTCTGTAGATGGTGGCACACTAGCACAGCATCGCCAGGCCAGTATTCCCACATTCTCTTTGTCTCCTGGAGATTTCTCCATCAGGAAACTCGGGGACGAACCTGAGATAGACATCTCTTCCACAGTACCGTAGATTAAGCCGTAGCCATAAGTTGATGCCTATTCGCGATACGAGGACGGGGAGGTTCGGACATCGCAGGCCCCGCTGCGATTCGGCGCTGTTCGGCTTTACTTTTTCTGGCCCCCAACAGCGTGTCTAAAGGTGCATGGTCCACCTACCGCGACGGGAAATTGACGGGACACTGAAGTAAGGTGGAAGCGACAAGAAAAAAAAAAAAAAAAAAAAAAAAAAAGAAAAAAAAGAAAAGGACGAAAAGGGAACCCTCAAGCCACAAATGCCCCAGGCTTCGGAGCAGGGCAGAAAGCACCTGAGAAGAAGAGCGGCGTGTAGCCTAGTATGCGGTCGTGAAGCGAGAGCCGCTCCATACTGAGGCGCTTCATGCTGTAGGCTGTAGGCAGAAATGGCGGATCATTAGACGGGAGCGCAAAGCAAACGAGGCTGCGCAAACTAACCGAGCCCGCAGATATCTGTATTATGCATGTCATGTCAGTGCAGGAAGGTGTTGATAGAAACAGGAATAAGTCGGGATAAGATGTCCATAGCTGCCTAGAGTGTTCGTGGAAGATTGGATGCGGAATAAACTATGGAAGTGGAAAAAATGCGTCTCAGTGTGAAGCAGTGTAATACCGCAGTGAATCCGGCCGGTACCAGGGCCGTCGCGCCTATAATAACATCTCATCCATGCGGATAGATGAGATGCGGTTCGTAAATCTCGAAACGCTTCTACCGAACTTCTTTCCTCTCGCCCGGCCGTTCTTTGCGTCTAACAGCCACGAGCAATGACGGGAGCGGTTCCGGGGTTGGCGGAAGATTAAGGGATGCGGCAAAATGACCGACTGCATCGCGATTAAAAGAATCTCAATTTGTTTGATGCCGCCGTATACAGACGCATAATGTTAAGGTGGATATTAAGGCACCACCGGATCGGGAGGTTCGTTTGGTTGGAAAAGACCGAGATACGGCATGATGATTTTGACTTGATTAAGTCTGAGCCACAATTCACCATGCAGCCGCCGGCCCAGGCGGAGTCTGCCTTCTACTGGCTGTAAATGGCGTAGGCGGCGAAAGCAAGCCCGCCGTCAAGATCGTGGAGAAATGCCATGGGAGCATTGACAATCGGGGCCGCACCTGCCGTCAAAAGTGCCAAGAGACCCTGAGCGCCGCCCGTCTCGTGTCAAGCGTTGGTCGAAGCTGCCGTAAATTGGGGGGTGCCTTCTTCGCGGAGGGTAGTGGCGGGGGCTCGCTGTGTTGTTCATGCAAGCTGGGTCGATCTTGCCTGCCAGCCTTCCCGCCCGCTTCAGGTGGTCCAGGTCCAACCCTCTTGGGGCTTGGGGTGTCGCTTCCTCTTCCACTCGCGTGACGTGTACTTTGTACACTCAACAAAAAGCGAGATCCGGACATACAAGGGCACCATCACACCTTCCCTGTTCCTTGTAAGCGAGATACGAGAGGGAAGGGAAGGGGACGCCCACTTGGCGAGAGCCGATCAAATGATTTGCTCGGTAAACATCAATCGAGACCCGGTGACGGGGGGAGAAAGAGCCGCGCTTTTCCCGGTGAAGAACGAGATACAAATTGTAAACCACAATTGCAGCTTCTTACCCCACCATACAAGCGCCACGACCAACAAGGGTGCCATCAATGATCATGGAGACTTCCCCCCTGGCTTTGCCCTCCCTTCGAGTTTGGACGCACAGACGCTTGAGCCGCACCTCATAGGCTCTATTAATTAGGCGGAATTATCCGAGCACCCTTGAGTCCAGGGTCAGCCGCCCCGGCCAATTGCGATTCAATGGGTTCATCGAGGTTGCAGCTCTGGGCAGCCCTATAATAAGTAACAGCGTGACGCAACCCAGATCGGAGGGACCAACCAGACGCAGATGGAGGGAAGAAGTGAGGCAGCTCCGTTGGTTCGAGCTGTCTCTCCTACCATGGCTCGACCACAGCAGCTAGAAAAAGGGAGTAAAATTACTGAACAACTCGGCTTTTTTCCCCTTCTCACTAAGCAATTAGATAATCAGATTCCGTTTCAACAAAACAATT